GGAGAACTGAAGTGAGGTCAAAAGTTAACTTTCCATCCACCAACATGTATTAAATGCCTAATGTATGGCAGATTCTGAGTCCTGTCCTTGAGGAGCTTACAGTCTAATAGGGAAAACTTCACCTTTTTTTCCTTTAAAATTTTTATGAAGTTGAAACATGTTGACTAGAGAATATTTGGAAAGTCCAGGTAAGAAAGGAAAGGGGAAAAATCACCCAAAATTCAGATAATGTTTTATAAATCCTGGGAGCAGGTTCTGTGTCTTAGTATTTCTGTTTCCGCAAAACTGTTTACAGTCAATATGAGTTCTGTGTGTGTGTATGTGTGTGTGTGTGTTACACATAAACACATATACATACATGTATAAATATAAATATATGTTTGTATATTCATACATATGTGTGTTTGTGTACATATGAATATTTGCAGTACTGGGGATTGAGCTCAGGGGCACTTTACCACTGAGCTACATCGTTGGTCCTTTTTTTAAATTTTGAAACAGGGTCTCACTAAGTTGCTAAACTTAGCCTCAAACTTGTGATCCTTCTGCATCAGCCTCCTGAGTAGCTGGAATTACAGGCATGTGCCCCATGCCTGGTCAGTCAATATTTTTTGAGTAGAAAGAAAGCTACCCTGAATCCCCCAACTGGAGATAACCACTGCTAACATTTAGAAAGTATTCTTAGGCTCAGCTAAGTATGGTGGCACACACTTATAAATCTGTTGCTCTGCAGGCTGAGGCAGGAGAATCACAAGCTTGAGGCCAGCCTCAGCAATTTTGTGAGATCCTATCTCAAAATAAAAGAGGCTGGGGATGTAGCTCAGTGGTAGAGTACCCTGTGTTCAATCCCCAGTACTGGGAATGGGGTGGGGGGAACCATTCTTAGCCTCCTTTTCTTTCACATCAAATGACTCACCTGGATATGATTGCCTAATCCAGGTTGATAAATATATGGTCTCTTTAGTGCCCCCTACAGGTGCTGCAAGTGCTGCTTATCATGTTTATTGATTGTTGACCCAACTGGTCAATTGGAGCAATCTTTTACATCCTTCCCCCTGCCATGGCCTAGAATCTTCACACAAAGAAGGGTCTCTTAGGTATGAAAAGAGCAGTAGCTTTTACCAAATGCCCCCAACATGCACCCCCTACCACAGCGCATGAAATTTTCAGGAGCTGAGAAGTTGATTTATCATCGATCAGTTATTTGGATAGAGGGGAACTAAAACCAGACTGTGGGTTGATTCATTTGAAAGTTCCTGAAGGATCGTTCAAAACTCCAGATGTCTAGGCCCCACTTGACACCAATTAAAACAGAATCTCTTGGCATGAGGCCCAGACATTGGTGTTTTTGTGCTTTTAAAGCTGTCCTGGTCAGGAATTGGGAACCATGGATTTAAAGGAAAGTTGGGCAGTGACCTTTTGAGACTAGCAGAGTGCACGCAGTGGCCAGCAAGGGCACACTTCAACCCCAGAACTTGGCATCACTAGGGTTTTCTGCAGCCCACTTCATGAAAAGCTTGAGTGATATAAGCGGGAAGTTGGTTTGCAAAGGGAAACCCAAAGAAGTAAATAACATCTGTGTTCCAAAGGGCTTATGTAAGGAAAATACACAGAGAAACCATGGATGTACACATAAGGCAAGGACAGATGGAGGGAGATAAGTGTGAAGCCTCACTTGGGCTCTTCTGTAAGGCACATGAGTTTTGGAGGCTTC